TTCTTTTTGGATAGACAAGACAGTACAGTGTATTTTGACATATTATACATACACGGTGTGTGTGTGTGTGTGTGTGTGTGTGTGTGTGTGTCTCGCGATTTGTGTGATTTGCGAGGAGAGAAATGTAGGTGTGGGCTGGGGATGTGGCTCAAGCTGTAGCTCGCTCGCCTGGCATGCGTGCGGCCTGGGTTCGATCCTCAAGCACCACATACAAACAAAGATGTTGTGTCCGCCAATAACTAATAAATAAATAAATATTTTTAAAAAAGAAGAAATGTAGGTGGGACAGGATCTTGAGCCCCCAACCCATCATTTGGGGCACACGGATTGGGAGATGGGTACAATACTATCACTGTCCCTTTGAACTCAACTCAGCCACAAGAAAATATAGCATCAGCCTCCAGAGCAGCTGGGATTACAGGCGTGCACCACCATGCCGGCTCAGGAACTGATTTTTTAGTGTGTGTGTGTCAGTGCTAAGTATTTTGCAACAACCATGTGAAAGCCAGGATCCAATGGCACAAGCCTGGCATCCCAGCAATTTGAGAGGCTGAGGCAGAAGGATTCCAAGTTCCAGATTCCAAGTTCTTAGCAACTGAGATCCAGTCTCAAATAAAAATAAAAAGAACTGAGATTGTAGCAACTCAGGGGTAGAGCGGCCTCTGGGTTCAAGTCCCACTACAAAAACAAAACAAAAACACCCAGCACATGAAAACAAGTACAATTGATTTATGGAAGGCCATATAACAATAAATGGAAGAACCAGAAAGAAAAACAAACATGGATGAAAAGGGAAGACTGGGGGCTGGGATTGTGGCTCAGCAGTGGAGAGCTCCTCTAGCATGTGTGAGGCCCTGGGGTTTAATCCTCAGCACCACTTAAAAATAAATAAACAAAAATAAAGGTATTGTGTCCATCTACTTCTAAAAAATAAAATATGAAAAAGAAAGAAAAGGGAAGACTGGAGTCAGGTATCAGAAATCCCCCTGAGGAAAGTAGTAAAAGTAGTAAAAGTAGTAAAAAGTAGTAAAAGCTGTCCAGAGGATGACTAGAATTTAGCCAGATAAAGAGGTGGTGGAGGTCAGGAAGAATGTTTGGGTAGTTGAAACAGCAAGGGTGAAATTCTAGAGAAATAGTAGCATGGTGCACTTGAGCATCTGTAAAAGCCAGAGGAAGTGCAGCTGAAGGGGATACCAAGGGCAGGATAGGAGAGTCTTGTTAAGGATTTTGTTTTTAATTAAGGCAACAAGCTTAAGTCATTAGTGGTTTTAAGCAACAGAAAGGTATGATTACAATTGCATTTTTATAAGATCATTTAAGGTGTAAAGAATGCAAGGGAGGGTGAAGGCACTGTAGCTTCTCCTGTAATCCCAGCAACTGGGGAGGCTGAGGCAGGAGGATGGCAACTTCAAGGCCAGTTTCAGCAATTTAGCAAAACCCTTAGGAATTCAGACCTTGAAATAAAAAAATAAAAAGGGTTGGAGATGGTTCAGTGGTATAGCACCCCTGGGTTCAATCCTCAATACCAAGGGTTATAGGAGAATGCAATACAAGGGTTCACAGTTTCATTGGTGATTGTACTACTAAACTCTTCTAGGGTGTAACAGGAGTTAGAAGATGAAAAAGCACACATAAGAGAATCCAGGAGTGGTACTCAGTAATTGGGGTGTGAAGGAGAGAGAGGGAAAGCCAAGACATTCTGTATCCTCTGCTCTTCCTCAAACCTGAGCTCCAATTATTTAATATATTCATTTCATTTAATTCATTGCTTTCATGAATGTTTTCCAATTGTCCCCTCCTCCTCATCACCACTGCCACTGGTCTAAATCAAGATGTTTTTCTCTTCAGATATTCTCCAAGCCATCTTAGCATATATATAAACATATACTTTTTTAATGTTTTGTTTGTATTGTTTAATATTTATTTTTTAGTTATAGGTGGACACAATGTCTTTATTTTATATTTATGTGGTGCTGAGGATCGAACCTAGTGCCTCACGCATGTTAGGCGAGCGCTCTACCACTGAGCCACAACCTCAGCCCCTAAACATATATTTTTTAATTGAATCTGGGGTCTTGTGCATGGTAGGCAAGTGCTCTACCATGGAGCCACACCCCTAGCCCTATCTTAGTGTATGTTCTGAATCAGTTAAGTCAATCTACACCTCACCTGTCATTGAACCTATTACAGGACAAAATTCAATCTCTTTCTGGTCTCCTCTCAATTTACTTTGTCAATTTTTCCTTCCCCCTTTTGGGCCAATATTGCTCCAGAGGTATTACACCTACTGAAACCACAGAGTCACCTGAAAGTTTAAGTAAACGTTCCCTCATAGCCCTAAACCTTTGTAAACTGTGTGCTTGTGTATTTATTAAACATACACTTGCCTCATTCCTCAGAGGTCACATGATCTTTCCACTGCCAGGAATTTGCCAATCCCTTCTCTCTGGGAAATTTCTATTCACACTTCAAGTCCCAGCTCAGATATCAGTATCTAGGCTTTTTCTAACACTCCCACTCCCTAGATAGGATTAATTGCTTCCTCATTTGTGCTTCTAAGTTACTTTACACATATCTCTGTCCTGGTAGAAGTTGGACAATTTAGTCTTTGAGTATCTAAGGAACACAGGCTAATGCAATCAACAAATGCTCCTGACTCTGAAAAGTTGTTGGGAGGATTACATGGGGCAAAATATTTACAGTTGCATTTTCTTTTTCATCCCTTTCCTAATAATACTAATAATCTATATTACAATTTACAAAGGACAAAGTTTGATAGCATTCCATCTGGAAATAAACCTGTGAGATAGTAATGGTATTTATTATTTCTATTTTATATTTGGAGGAAGTGATATACCTAAGAGTTAAAAAAAAAGGCCAGGCATGGTGATGTTCAATGCCTGTAATCCTAGCCACCTGGGGGTCTGAATAAGGAGGATTGCAAATTCAAGGCCAGCCTCAGCAATTGTAGTGAGATCCCTGAATACTTAGTGAAACCCTGTCTCAAAATAAAATACAGGGGCTGGGTTGTACCTCAGTGGTACAGTGCTTGCCTAGCATGTGTGAGGCACTGGGTTCAACCCTCAGCACCACATAAAAATAAATAAATAAAATAAAGGTATTGTGTTTATCCACAATCAAAGATATTTAAAAAAATAAAAAATATAAAAGGCTGGAAATATAGTTCAGTGGATAGAACGCTCCAGAGTTCAATCCCCAGTACTGGGGGAAAAAAGTAATAATGTGGAGGTTGGGGGTGTGTAGCTCAGTGGTAGAGCTTGTGGGAAGCCCTGAGTTTAATCCCAGCACTAAATCAATCAATCAATCAAGCAAGCAAGCCAGCCAGCAAGCAAGCTGGTTAAGTCGTATGCCTAAATAACAGTGCTCCATTGCTATTGTCAAAAATGGAGTCAAGTTTTCTGGTTTTAAAATCTGTGATGTTTGTGGTACTGGGGATTGAACTCAGGGCACTCTAGCATTGAGCTACCTCCTCAGCACTTTTTAATTTTTATTTTGAGACAGGGATTCCCTAGGTTGTGGGGATGGCTTCCAACTTGTGATCCTCCTGTCTCAGCTACCCCAGTAACTGGGATTATAGGCAAAGGCCATTGTGCCCAGCACTGTGATGCTAGTATTTTTTATGAACAGATTAAAAAAGTGTATATATTTGTATTGTACAACATGATGTTTTGCTACATGTATACACTTTAGGATGCATGAATCAAGCTAATTAACATATACAATTACTTCACATATTTATGTTTTTTTTTTTTCGTGGTATGAACTTAAGGTCTACTCTTTTAGCAGTTTTTAAGTATACAATTCATTGTTATTGACTATAGTCATCATGTTATAACCTCCTGAATTTAATTCTCTGAAATTTACATCCTTTTTTTTTTTTTTTTTTTTTGGGGATTGAACCCAGGAGTGTTTAACCACCAACTATAACTTCAGCCTCCTCCCACCGCCGTTGTTTTTTTGAGAGTCTCACTAAGTTGCTGAGGATGACTCGAACTTTCCATCCACTTGTCTCAACCTCTGGAGTGACCGAGATTATAGATATGTTGCCATCGCACCCAGGGAAATTTTATATCTTTGACTAACATTGCTCCAAATGTGATCTTTCTATTAAATCACACTGCTTCTTGTATACTCTAACCAGTATTTTTTTCAAAGTGCAGGGAAACACTCACTGAATAATAAATTCATGAGGTAGGGACACTAATAACGAATGAGGGATTAAAAAAAAGTTCAGATTAATTCACATGTAGTAAGGATGAACAGAGTCCGCTGATTCTTCGTTGTAATGTAAAATCTATTTCTCACTGCGGATCCAGATTTTTTAAAAGTATGAAAGCCCCTGCACCAGCACAATGCCAGGTTCTAAATGACACTTAGTAAATTGAATTATAACACTTTCATTTTGAATCCATTTTTGTTTCCTTAAACTCCATTCGTCGCCACTGGAAAGCAGAGATCACATTATTTTTCTGATTCCTAACAGAGAGCAAGTTATGAAGTTGGAGTATTTATGTGTTTGTCAAATGAAAGCCTGAATGAGAATAAAGGGATAATATAGCTCAGGAAATATGGTTGAAAATGATTACTGTTTTATCTCTTTCTAGAGTTATGCATTGTCTACAGCGACACCCGAAAATGTTCAGTAAACAGTTTCCAAAAACCCGGTTTCCCTGCCTTGGGGGGACGACAAAAAAAAGGGGAAGCATACATAAATATGCACTCAAGGAACACCGCTTGCCCTTAGTCAACATGGCCTCTCAATGGTTTCAGAAAAGGCCTCTGGGTGGAGGGGCTGGGGTGGGGGCGGGGATTGTTTACCTTAGTCAAAATGGCCACCTTGATTTCGTTCTATCAGAATGAGCATGCGTAGTCCCGGTCCCGCCCTTCACCCGCCTTGATCTTTACGCGTGCGTCCTAGCGCAGAGGGACGGCGTGGGAGGAATAAATTTCTCTGTGATTGGTTGGTTCAGGATTTCAAACCCGAACTGGCGGCGCGGTGTCTCTTCGCCGTTGGGTGAGGCGCAGAGGGAAGTGGAAGGCCGCCCAGGTGGGGCCGGGCGGACCTAGAGGGGTGCGTTTTAGGGACTGAAACTAGGTGCGTCTGGCTTTGGATTGTGGTAGGAGGGAGAGCATCCGACCCGGTAAGCCTTGGTAACCTGAGGGGCCCGAGGGGAAGGTTGCCATCTGTAATCCTTCCACTGGCGTTTCCCTGTGGCGGGGGCTGGCAGGGTAGTGGGCTTTCTTGGCGCCGGGTTATGTGGGAAATCGGGGACCTCTTTTTGAGGTGTGGCTTCTTTTGTAGGGTCAGGGTTGACCCTAAAAAAGTGGCTCCGGAGTAAAGGTGTGGGAGTGGGTGGAGGTAACATAGGAATAGGAATAGGGTGTTTCTAAGGGAAAAGTCTTGATACCTTGAAGCCTGAGCTGGAGTCTGAAGTGGAGCCCCGCTCCCTTGTGGGTCACGTCTTTCTAGGTAGGCTGGCCGAGGCTGTGACATCTTGACCTTCCTGTCTTAATTTTTAGCTTCGCTAACAGTGAGGCCTTATTTTAACACTTAGACGTACTTTTTTTTTTTTTAACAGTATCTCATTCGTAGTTGGAGAGTGTGGGTAGAAAAGTGGGGTGAGTGGAAAGATAAGCCTTGAAAAATGTCATTATCTTTCTCTTTCATAAGTCGGGTAAATAAGACTTTTGAGTTATTGAAGGTGTTTAGAGAAGGCCCCTTTCCTGTAGCTTAATCGTTCAACAGGTGTTTAAGCGCAAGGTGTAGCTAGAAGACAATCCTGTTTGGGTTTAAAGCAGTGTGCAGTTTATTTGAGGCGATAGAACTTAAAAAGAAAACTGGTGAATCTGGAAGGTTTATATGCTATTTGAGAGTATAGCCCATTAGTACAGCCCATTTAGAAAATATTTTTGCAGTATTTATCAAGAGCTATAAAAGGTTTTTACACTCAAATATAGTAATTGGAAATCACCTAACGAACAGTCACCTAAAGAAAAATACCATCCATAGGGATGTTCAATTAATTCATTCAACAAATATTTATTGATAATTTGCCAAGTGTTGGATACTGTTCTAGGCACCAGTGGCTCAGCAATGGACAAAACAGACAAAAATCTTTGCCTTTTTGAAGTTTTAACTATTGGGGAGACCACAGACAATAAAATAAGTAGATAAGTATATTAGATGGAGATAAGTGCCTTGGAGCAAAATAAAGCAAGAAAATGTTGGGAGGGGGGAGTCTGAAATTTTAAATAGGGTGGTTAAGAAAGACTTAATTGGGGAAAAAGATATATATTAGTAAAGACGTAATGGGGGTGAGAGTGTGACCGAAAGAAATTCCAGGCAGAGAGGGAACTGAAAATCTGGAAATTGTTTCAATATCTAAAAAAGTGAATGGTTAAATACTTGTTCCATAAACTCTTTTGAACTTAATGGAAACATTATAGTAAAAAGGAAAGTATAAAATTATATGTAATCTGTGATTGCAATTCTTTGACATGTGAGTGTATAATGAGCAATGGATATACATATAGTTGTTTAGGAAGATGAGGTTTTTAAAATTATTTTAAAAATAATATTTTCAGACATAGAACAGTTATACCATTAGGCAGTGTTTTGTTTTTCATGGTACTGGGGGTTGAATCCAGGGCCTTGTACATGATAGGCAAACACTCTATTTCTGAGCTATAACTTCAGGCAGTATTTTTATATATGTCAAATGAGTTTATAAATAATAAAGGAAATAATTTTGTCATTTTGGGCTTAAATGGTTAGGGAAGGCTTCAGTGAATTTGGGAGACTTAAGTCTAAACCTTGAAGAATGGAAGGAGAAGGAAAAAAAGAAAGTAGTCTAAACTGTGGTATGTTGAACTGGTAATTTTACGAAAAATCATAATTCAGTTCTACTCTTTCCTTATTTTAGTCTTCATTCATGTTGGATTGAAGACGTTCTGTTTATTCTTTCTGCAGTTGATTTGTTCATAAGAACATTTGGTCTCAAGATAATATTCCTTCTGCCTGCCAGTTGGATTGAAGCTTTTGATATAGTGAAGCAGAAGCTGGACATTTGGGGGAAAAGAATTATCCTGAAATGCTTTTGTATGAAAAAAATCTTAGTATTGAGATTCTTTGGGAATGGTTTTCCTTGGCAGCCCCAAATCTATGTTGTTGATTTCTTAGGAATTTTCCAGATCAGCAATGTTTGTGATGTTTTTCATTGAAACATTTTGATGGAAAACTCAAGTGATTTTTCCATTGGTTTGTCTTAAAATATCTAACACCCTTGTTGGAGCTAAAAAACCTGATATAGGTCTTTTACTAATGTTTGTAGCAGAAGGAAGACAATTATAGAGACTTTTCCCAGGATACCCTGCAGTAAGATCTGTGATAGTCTGTTATTCTGAAGGACTGTCTGTCTCTTGCCTGGGTGATTGAAATTAAATTGGGGTCTCAGAGCAATCATGGCAAGCTGAGACTCTTTCATAGTGTTGCCAAATTGCTCCCTTAGGGATGCTCACAGATTGGGAATCTGTAACATAGTGACTTCTCCACCTCTGGGGATTGCTATCAATAACAGCTGAGATTCTGCAGCACCTTTTTGTTTAAAGTGCTCCACAAACTGATTTCCTTGCTACACACAGGGATCATTTGAGCTTTCCGAAAAGGCAGCAGTCTCTGTTGTGGAAAGTGACAGCTGTTTTACAGCTTCAAAGCAATGCAACTAGATATGACTTTGTTTTTGTTTCCTTTCACATTAGTGTATCTCCTAGCTATGGAATTAAATAATAAAGGGGGAGGAAATAAACAAAAGGGTGAAAATGTGACCCAGCAGGAAAATTAAGACCATTCTCATTTGACCTTGGATAGGATGAGTAAATTTTAGCTTTTTGAGTTACAATTTGGCTGAGATATCAAGAGTTAGTGGTGATGCAGAAAGATATTTTTGTCACCTATAAATAATTCCTGAGAGTCACTTCTGTAGAATAGTAATAAAAATATATGGTCCCCAGCATATAAAGAGAAGAGGATTGTGTTTGCTAGTGCCATATTTGGATTACCTTAAGTAAACCTATCTTAGAGGAAGAATTAACTCTTTAGTAGCAACAAGCCTCACTAGAGCAGCTTGTTTAGAAGCCTTGGCCTAGTCAGATTTTGCTATCTCCTTGATTCTTTTTGGTCTGGGTTCTAGTTATGATCTGTGTTTTTATATGTGTCATTCTTTGTCTGACATGTTATACTTTGGGGGAGGCATCTGGCAATGTCTGCAACATATATAGTGTGATATTTTTGTAACATCTCTTTGATGTGTTGAGGTAGAAAACATTCTTTTTTTAATTTATTTTGTTCTTTTTAGATAAAAATAACAGTAGACTATATTTTGGCATAGTATACATACATGTAGTATAACTTATTCTAAAATTAGGATCCTATTCTTGTGGTTGTACATGATGTGGAGTAACCGGGTCCTGTATTCAAATACAAGGCTAGGAAAGTTAAGTCTAATTAATTCTACTGTTCTTCATATTCCCCTCCCAGAACATAGATTTTGGAACTTAGATTGGGGTTTCATTGTGAGCTCATCATTTATTAGTGATTTAAGGTCTCTAAGCCTAAGTTGTGTTTGTATGTAAAAGGAAGTTAATTAATCAGATTACTTAAAATATATACATGAAATATCAGTTTTCGTGCCCAAATCACTTCAGATGTACCTTGTACATTTTATAAATACTGAATAAATACTGATTTTCTTTCTAACTGTATAACACTATTTTTAAAAAGTGTAAAATTCTGACTTTTTGTGATATCCTTATGTGGAGATTGCCTATAAAAAATTAGTAGACTTGGGAATCACTGTTCTAGGATATAATTAATATCCATCAGACTCAAAAAAACCTACTTCATACTTTCATATAAATATATACTTTATATTTTGATAATATATACATTATAATATTTTTATCTACATCAATTTATAATTTTCTGTGAGATAAATAGGACAAATACTGTTGTTTTCACTTGATAGATAAGTCTCAGAATTTAGGTAATTTACCCAAGTTTATGCTTTTGGTAAATTGAGGAGCTAAAGCTTTATTCCAAGAATTCTACCCCCACCTCTCACCAACTATTCTTTTTGTTTTAACCTATGTTATACAATAATGTTGAAGTAGAATCGGAATTCTTTGACAGAGGTATCATAGGTGTGTGTGTATATTCTCTGACTTCCATTTACCCATTATTTATGTCTTGTGTAAGCATCATATTAAATACTGGATGTGTGTAATACAGTAATGTCAAATATAAGGTTTCATCCTCAAATTTAGAATCTACCTGGAATACAAGACAGAAACAAATGGTAAAATTAAATTGAAGTGCAAGGTATGTGTATCTAAGTGGCAACTGACCAAAGCAGTAGAGGAAAGACTGGTGGCATGGATGTCATTTGAGGCAGTCAGATCAATTGAAGTGAATGATTAAACTTCCAAGTGGTGATGGGGTGGGTCCAATATATAAATAAGGGAAGAGACTATAGGGGTTGGTTATGTGCTTATAGGAAAGGGAAGAACCAAAGGTGTTTCTGAAGTTTGGAAGCAAGTGACTGGGAGACTAATAAAAATGAGGAGGTCAAGCTTGGAAATCTGTAGGATAGGACAGCAATGTAATGGTTAAGGTGGAATATTTGATAAGTTCTTTGAGCATTTGGAGGATTGAACTTTATGGGTATTGAGGGAAGAACAAAAATTGATAATCAACTATTTGTAAAACTCTAAATATGGAGACCATGAAGATCTGACAGTTAAGGATTGCCTCTTTGTTGTTTATAATACAGCATTACAAATTTAGTTAAATAACCACCTCCTAAGTACTGTTCCTAGGCATCATTTAGTAAAATAATGTAGATTGCCCTTGTTGTATGTATACCAGTTACAGTGGTGAGATTTACCCCATTTAGATTTTCTATATGTGTTTAGTTTTTTTCAGGATCAGGTTTGTATTTCTTTCCTTCCTTTCTGAATTGAACCCAGTGGTGCTGTACCACTAAGCTACCTCCAGACACCCACTTTTTCTTTTTTCTTTTTTTTTTTTTTTCAGTTTGAGACAATGTCTTGCTAAATTCTTGAGGCTGGACTCCAACTTGCAGCTCTCCTGCCTTGGCCTCTGAAGTCATTGGGATTGCAGGTATGCACCACTATGCCCAACCAGACTTGTTTTTTCAAGAGACTACCTCGCTCCAGGAAATATGCATGAGGAACATAGAGAATAATGGACTAAAGGAACTTGAGAAAATGGAGGCTTTTTTTTTTTCTTTAAAGGGGGCTTGCCTCAGTCTGTTCCTACTGCTATAACAAAAGATCTTAAAATGGATAATATATAAATAATAGAAATTTATTTCTCACAGTCTGGCAAGTCCAAAAGCAAGGCACTAGTAGGTTCTTTTTCTGATAAAGATTTGCTTTCTGCTTCCAAGATGGTGCCTTCTTGCTGTGTCCTCACGTAGTGGAAGGGCAAACCCGGCCAAACTAGTTCCTTTACACTTTTTTATAAGGGCACTAATCCCATTCACATCCTAATCACCTCTTAATACTATCACATGAATTTTGGGGGGACACAAACATTCAAATCATAGAGAGGACAAAAGGTCAGGTATTATTATCATTTAAAACATTAAAAACTCAATTTTTAAGCCAGTTTTTAATATCTTAGTTGGCCATGGAAATTTCCTTTTCTGTGTTCTTAGAAAGAAGTTTACTGTTTTAAAGTTTTAGGATATATGAACAAGTGTTGAGATGAAAGGAATCAGTACCCTATATTAAAATTATTGATTAGTGTCTTCCGTTTTTACTGGGAGCCAAAGAAAATCATAATTTGAATTGACTACTGAATGCCTTGCCCTGCCTTTGTCCTATAGTACTTGGTCTTATTTGTTTATTTGTGTTCAATCTATGGGCATCTTCATGACTTTCCAGATGTCTTTCTGAGAGCTTTAATGCTATTTTTTTAGTTTTGTTCTTAGTTTAGAGAAAGATCTATGTAATAAATTTGTTGGTCTGGTTGATTAGCAACTTGCTGTGATTATGTTGTTTAGAAAGATAACATTGCCATTTGAAGATCTTGGTTTCCAGCCCTGATTCAGGTATATATTCCATCCAAGCTTGGAATTCAAAGGTGGTTTTTTTTTTTTTTTTGCTATTACAGCAATTGTCACATGAGTATGAATATTTCTGTAATGTTTAATAGAAAATAGCTTTGTACTTCTATATTCCTCTGTGGCTTGTTTTTTCTTTTTCTTTTTTTTCCCCTCTTTCTTGCCCTCATAATCTTATAAAAATTACAAAATCTCTAAAGATTCATAAAAAAATTTTTAAAATTTTATTAAGATACATGAAATAACAACCTGAACTAGATTGTTAAATGATGGTTAGAGCAACATAAGAGGAGTCTTTTAGTAGTATTTTTGAGAATATTAGATTTTCAAATCAAATTTGACTTTTTATTTTATTTCTTGATAATTTTCATAATATCCAGTAAATGTCTTTCTTTCTTGACTGCTAAATGGAGATCTTATTTCCTCAAAATGTTCCCAGTTGAAGTTTATTTGGAACAGAACTGCCTTCAAAGGACTATGTTTTTAATGTAATATCAGCAGGTCTTTGGGGGGAAGTAAGAAGCTGAAATTCACTATATAGAACACAGTATAACAAATGATTTTTCCTTTGCCCTTCTAACTGTGAAGGTGGTGTATTGTCTCCCTGATGCCAGAATGTGGTACAACATAATCCTTTGCCTATACTTAGTATAAATTTATTAGACGTAGTCCCTGCACACAGTCCAGCAGAGAATCCTGCATTACAGAAATAATTCTTGTGCTGCTGAGCTGGCAATTTCCCAACTTAATCACTTGTGTGATGTCATTTATGCCATTGGTAGGAAATGTGCTGACCATGTCCTGCATTTTGAAAGGCAGTTGCAATAGGAAATTAGCTAAAAATGTAATAAAAAATAAACCTTTCAAGTTACATTCTGGGACTTCAAAGTTCAGAAGAAGTAAAGTGGTAAAAATGTTTTATTAATAAATAGGTTTGACTAAAAAACTACATTTTGTAGTTGGTCATCTTGTAATCAACTTACCTAATTGTTCCTAATTTCCTCCTCAGCACCAGAATGATTACAGCGTTAGGGGGTTAAGGCATGAGAGGGAGTGTTATCTTTAGAGGTCTGAAAAGATTTTCTAGTTTTCAAATAATCCTTAACATTCCAACTTTGTTTTTATAATAAGGATCACACAAAACATCAGTTGTTGGTTTGAGGTTCTTATAATTAGCTGCAAACGTAAGAGTCCAGATGTTGGTTACTGATAGCTGTACTGGATTGCTATTAAATCTTTTGTCAAGGTGGGAAGACAGGACCCCTAATGTATATTTGATTTCTTGGCAGAAAGATGGATACCACAATGCTGAATTTGCGGAATCTGTTTGAGCAGCTTGTGCGCCGGGTGGAGATTCTCAGTGAAGGAAATGAACTCCGTAAGTCATTCTGAGCTGATCTGTGCAGAAAAGGGAAAAAACCCCACACACTTCAAATTTGTGTTTTCTACAAAATTGAAGTATTTTCCAGTCTTTTTTTCCCCCTTAGGTGTAGTTGGACATAATATCTTTATTTTATTTATTTTTATGTGGTGCTGAGGATCAAACCCAGTGCCTTGGATGTGCTAGGTGAGCACTCTACTGTTGAGCCACAACCCTAGCCCCTATCTTCCAGTCTTAAAGTTGCTTTTTTTTTGGATTATCTAAAAAGAAAGTGAAATCTCTTATACATGGTCAAAGCTTTTAAAGGGCACTCACATTCCAAATGGGCACTAAAATTTTTTCTGTAGTTATTCTTTTTTTGGGGGGGAGGGTACTTGGAACTGAACCCAAGGGTGCTTTACTATTGAGCTACATTCCCAGCCCTTTTAAAATTTGAGACAGATCTCACTAAGTTACTGAGGCTAGCCTTGAACGTGTGATCCTTTTGTAGTAGCTATCCTAGATGCTGAATTACAGGAGTGCATTACCAAACTTCTATTTTTTTTTTTTTTAAAGAGAGAGTGAGAGAGGAGAGAGAGAGAGAGAATTTTTAATATTTATTTTTTAAATATCGGCTAACACAACATCTTTGTTGGTATGTGGTGCTGAGGATCGAACCCTGGCCGCACGCATGCCAGGCGAGCGCGCTACCGCTTGAGCCACATCCCCAGCTCCCAAACGTTCTATATATGGATTTTATCTAGTCTTTTTTCATTATCAAGGTTCTGTTTCCACTGAATAGTTGGCATTAGTTGCCAATTTCATTTTTGTATGAACTGAGAAAAATTTAGATTTTTTAAGGATGTTGGTTTTTTCCTTTAGAGTAATTATATTTTTTTATTCTGGCCTTTCTCTGTTCCATGAAACATTTTCAGTTGAGGAAAAAAGTCATAATTTATTTTTGAAGGAGAAACTAGGCACCCACTTTTATGTACTTCGTATGTTTAAGGTGTAATAAAGGATTGAGATAGGGTGAACAGCTGGAAAGAAAAAGGAGATGTTAGCCAGCCAGGTATGAGGTACACATCTATAATCCTAGTGATCTGGGAGGCAGGAGGATAACAAGTTCAAGAACAGCCTCAGCAACTTAGTGAGATCTTTCTCAAAATAAAAAGGGCTGGGGATACAGCTCAATGGTAGAGTGCCACTAGGGTTCAATCCCTAGTATTGCTAAAAAGAAAAAGGAGGTGTTGATAGAGGGAATAGTCTGGGAAGTTAATTAGCATGAAAGGAAAATGGAGCTAATAGCACTGATATATGTGACATAAGGAAATTATTCTCTGCCAGCTTTTCATTGTATTTCCATCCTGTCCTCTTTCATATTTTCAGAAATTGCCAATTTAGTAAGTATTGCTCTCAAGTCAGCCTTACTAGTATGAAAGTAATGCAAGAACTATGTCTTGAGCTTTCCTTTATCTCCATAGTTTTCTTAGTATGGCATCTTGCTTATTCCATGTGATATATTTTTTTTAATTGATTGATGCTTTTAATAGCTCTTTTCCACTTACAGGCCTCTCAGAACAATATTCTATTTTCTCTCTCTAATAGCTGCTGCATGACCCTGTCATCTGGTATCAGCTCAGTAACTACAATGGCATATTAATCAGTCTTCTCTTTGAGGTCACATCATTTCAGAAGATGGATTACTTTGAAGTCTAGTGGGGCAGATATGAAATAAGGGATCTTAAAACCCAAGTTCATTCAGCAATATTTCATTAGAACCTATCACATCTTCTAGTGTATGTTGAGTTGAGGGAAAAGGACAATTAAATGGCTTCATGGAGGAAAGTAGGGTTTGGTTGAACCTTAGATATATGGTAGGATCCCAAAAGACAGAAATGAATGAGGACATTTCAGGTCTGAGTGGTGACAAGAGGGTTTGAAGAGAATCAGAGTCGTAACATAATCAGAATTGTGCTTCAGTAAGATTTACCCTGTCATAGGTATAGACTGCATCAGAGGTGGAGGCTGGGAGACTGATTAGAAAGGAGACAGTTGCCATAGCTCAGGAAAGAAGCAATAAGAGGAATTCCATTCCTTACTGGAGTGGTGCTTTGAAGATGGAAACAAGGGGAAATGTGTAGAAGAGATTGTTATGATAAGACTTGTGGGAAGACACAGCTGATAGCATGTGGGGATAGAGGGAGGAATTTGAGATTTAGTGTCTCAGAAACTAGTGCTGGCTTTTAACTGTTATTTCTCTGTCTGTTTCTCCAACTGTAAAATAGGAATTTAAATGTCTTTATCTTTGTTGTGGGAGTTCTGTGTGAGGATTTGGGGATAAATTGAGATACTAGTTGTGAAAATACTTTTGGAAGTGATCATGCAAAAAAAAAAAAAGAAAGATACTTATTTTTACAGATATCTTTATGTTTTTATTGTTTTTTAAAATTTTTTAGTTATAGATGGACATAATACCTTTATTTTATTTATTAATTTTTATGTTATGCTGAGGATTGAATCCAGTGCCTCACATGTGCCAGGTGACCACTCTACCACTGAGCTGTAGCCCCAACCCCTACAGATATCTTTATTTTATAAACAAATTTCCATTTTCCCATTTATTTCTATTTTATAACAGAAGAACATTTTGCTCCCTGCACCAGATTTATAATTTGCAATGTTGGCTTTTGAGAAACTAGAGTAACTCAATGGTTTTTAGGTTCTAAAATCTTTTGCAAACCCAGGTATCTCTCCCTTTCTCAGATCCTAGGGATTCCCTCCATGGCCACATATGCCCTGATGACTCCTTACTCTTGCCTTTCTTCACAATTTCTTTACTTTCTCTCTCTTTTTTTGTTTTTTGTCCAGTTTTTCTAAAGCTAAGTTCAAGGTTACCCAAAGCTAAGAATGAAAGTTAATATTCCAATAAATAATTTAATAGCCTATATATTTTATTATCTTTGTTTTCACCAGTCTTCATGGTTTTTACCTTCTATTTTTATTTTGTTGTAAGCTTCCTGAACTTTTTTGATATCATTGGTGTATATATGAAGAATAGGTATATCTTAATATTTAGCAGGTACTTACTATGTGCCAGTGACAGAGTAGGTTTTTGCTAAACTATGTATAATAAGTACATTATGAGGTAAATGTGATATGGTGCTTGTCATCAAGAAAATTATAATATTTTAGTTTCAGAGACAGGAGTTTTTTTTTTTTATTATTCTTTTTTTCTTCCAGGTTGGTGTTTTGTTTTTATTTTAATTTTTCAATCTGTTACATTTACCAAGCCATCCCAAGTCCGAAAGAAAATCCACCAGGTAGTAATAAATTCGAATCTGGGTGGAAGAAAAATGTAAGATAGATCTGGTTGTCTTTGTTTTTTGGTACTGGGGATGGACCCAATGGGTGTTTAACCACTGAGCCATATCCCCATCCTTTTTTTTTTAATTACATTTAAAAAATTTTTTTCTTGAGAGAATTTTTTAATATTTATTTTTTAAATAAAGATGTGGACACAACATCTTTATTTTATTTTTATGTGGTGCTGAGGATTAAACCCAGCGCCCCACGCATACCAGGCGAGTGTGCTACTGCTTGAGCCACATCCCCAGCCCCAAATTACATTTTTTAAAAATTTGTTTTAATTAGTTACACATCACAGTACAATGATCTTGACATATCATATATTTGAATCAGAGGGGGTGTAATTTCTCATTTTTCTGAGTGTACAGATTGTAGAATCACATTGGTCATGCAGTCACGTATATACATACAGCAATAATAAAGTCTATTTTATTCTGCTGTCCTTCGTTTCTCCCCTTCCCTCACCATCCTTTTTAAAAATTTTTTGAGACAGGGTCTTGGTCTTGCTAGGTTGTTTACAGGCTTGCTAAGTTGTTGAGGCTGGCTTTGAACCTGCAGTTCTCCTGTCTCAGCCTCCTGAGCTGCTGGGATTTCAGGTGTATGCCACTAGGCCTGACCTAGATCTGGTTTTTAAGAATTAACACTTTATGGGCTGGGGATATGGCTCAAGTGGTAGTGTGCTCGCCTGGCATGCTTGAGGCACTGGGTTCGATCCTCAGCACCACATAAAAATAAAAAATAAGGGCTGGGGATGTGGCTCAAGCGGTAGCGCGCTTGCCTGGCATGCGTGCGCCCGGGTTCGATCCTCAGCTCCACATACCAACAAAGATGTTGTGTCCGCCGAGAACTAAAAAATAAATATTAAAAATTCTCTCTCTCTCTCTCTCTCTCTCTCTCTCTCTCTCTCCCTCTCTCCCTCCCTCCCTCTCCCCCCTCTCTCACTCTCTCTAAAAAAAATAAAAATAAAAAAAATAAAAATTCCACTTAGATTATTATGTGGGAGAGAAAGCCAACTAAACATTTAAAAATAAAATAAAATAAAATAAAGATATTGTGTCCACCTAAAACTAAAAAATAAATGTTAAAAAAAAAAAAGAATTAGCACTTTACAAGTGGATCAGATCACCCATACATGATGGAAAGAGGAAGAAGGAAGGAATAGATAAAGGGCAGATATAACCAAAGTGTGTTACATACACGTAGGAGCTTGTGAATAGCCAGATACGGTGGCCCAGGCCTGTAATCTCAGCAACTCTGGAACCTAAGGCAGAAGGATCTCAATTTCGAGGCAATTTAGTGAAATCCTGTCACAAAATAAAAAATAACAAGTAGCTCTGTGGAGAGCCAGTGTGAGAGGTACCAGGTTCAACTCCCTGTACTGCCAAAACAAACAAAACTAATGAGAGGGCAAGCCAGGATAGTGTGCTGAACACAGGAAACTCAGGTTTTTTTCCTAATAAAATAGTAGGTAACACAAATATCAATAAATGCTTTGGGGGAAGACTAGAACAACTTAATATGGAGCAAAATGATTAGGAAAGGGTTCACAGTGCAGATGGGACTTGAAAAATGGGTATGTAAAGAAGAGTAGGTACACAGCTTGCTCATGAAATGAGAAGACAGAAATAAATATGTGTTTGTTTTGGGAGCAAGGACAGACTGGGTTAGCTAGAGAAAGTATTGTGTAGTATAGGAAGTAAGTTTAATTTGATTGGTAAAGTGAACTTGGATGCCTAGAGTTTAAATGTGATCTGAATAGCAATTCTTTATTCACTAATTCAACAAACATTTAAGAGCCTATTATGTGTTAGGTAGGGTGCAAGGCACTGAAGATAAAGGATCAGAGAAGACACAACATCCCTGCCCTTAAGAATGTCAAAAGGAAACTGGTCCATTGTCACATGACTGTAATCCCAGTGACTTGGGAGGCTGAGGCAGAAAGATTGCAAATTTTCCAGGCTACTGTTAGCAATTTAGTGAATCCCAGCAATTTAGTGAGGCCCTGTCTTGGAAAAAAAAAAAAAAATTGGACTTGTGTAGCTCAGTGGTAGAGTACCTATAATATGTTCAATTCCCAGTAGCACTTATAAATATATATATACACACTTTTTTTTTAATCTCCTAAAGAACAAACTAGCAAAATGAGATTGCATGGAAATTTTTCCATTATCAAATTGTTTTTCAGTTCAGTAAATATTTGATTGTATATGTAACACCATCTTTAGAAATACTGTGTAATGGACCACAGTGAGGAACTAGAAAAAATTTGACTTTGAGGTTTAAATGTTCATTTCTTTTTTTGGTGTTGGGCTGTGTGTGCTACTGGTGATCGAACTCGGGGGCACTTGACCACTGAGCCACATTCCCTATTTTGTATTTTATTTAGAGACAGGGTCTCACTTGGTTGCTTAATGTCTCCCTTTTGCTGAGGCTGGCTTTGAACTCGCAATCCAACTTCTGGGATTATAGGTGTGTGCCATCCCACCTGCCTAAAAGTGTATTTCTTGAAATTGAAGTATTGTATACATCACAAAAATGCACTAATGTGAGAGTAATGATTGATGAATTGTCAGAGTCAACATGTCCAAATAAGAAATTCTTGCTTAAAATTTTTTTCTTGTGAATCTATAATGTTGAAATAGTTAAATTTGCAAAGAGCTATATTGTGTTTTTTAAAATAATTTTTTAAAACCAATAATATGTTAGCTAAACCAACATGTTATTTGCATGGTAAAACTTAGTTTTTGGTCCTTGATATTTGCATTGTGATAACTAGGTCATAAGTCCTATTTTGCTAAAATTTGTTGTTCGCTATAACTTAAGGTTTCCTTATGACTTGGTTTCTTTAGAATGACTTGGTATCAATTGCTGCAGTCTGGCTGGGCACAAAATCACGAGCCACTCACAACCTTGTAGATTCAAACAGCAATTCTTTATTCCCGAACTCACACCGGCACTCTACACACGTTCTGGGGAAATCCACGTTCTCTACCAGGCTCTATCAGCAGGATACGCCCTATTCCTGGCAGGGTACACCTTAAACCTGGGACCTCCCTAAACCCAAGGAGCGGGATACTCCCTAAAACCTGATCCGCCCTAAACCCAGATCCGCCCTGGTCCTTGAGCAAGGTCACCTTACTCAAGCATACGTGCCTTGTCACTGCAAATGATCTGAGTCTAAGACAAGCCCATTTCCACAATGGAGAGTCCTTCCTCTAAGCAACATGAGGTAGGCTGACAAGAAAATTTCGATGCATCATTCCTACTTGGCAATGGCTCTCAGCAATCAATTTGTAAGTCTGAAATTTAGTCAAGTTATAAAAAGACACTATACTGTTTTTATACTCATGGGTTAAATTTAAATAGGAAAGGTGCCTTTACTGCCTAAGAATGTGTTGGCTTTGCTTTAATGTGACCTAGTTTCAACTGTAAACTATGTTAGTTTGACCAGCAGTAGATATATATGTTGGAACCTTCCTCCAAGATGTTGGTGGAGAGAGATGCTTAGAGATAGATTGAGGTTAACCGGAAAATTGTAAGGCAAATACATTGTAGGACAGTCTTTACCAGTAGCAGGTGATAAGAATGAATGCCACAAGTGTTATCTTGCTTTGAGTTGCTGACTTAAGTGATGCTGTCTTTGCAGACATTTAAGAAGAGTTCATATTTTGCTATCAGTGACTTTTAAAGAACTTTTATGATCTTCTCTCCTATTTTTCCAACTGGAATGTTTACATACCCTTCAGGCAGTGTTAAACAGCAAAAACAAATTGGCTCTTTACTTTCAAATCAATATTTGTATAATTATATAGCTGAATGGAATTGCAGGCCTAGACATCTGTAATATTAATCTACATCTACTGGAGCATATTACAGCAGTTTCATTTGAATTTGCTGTTTAACGTCTCTGGCGCAGCAATGCGTGACTGTAAAAGAGACTGTTTTTGTTTTATAGCTGTAACTGTCCTGGTGCGTGACAGCTGCCCCACAGGTATACCCCTTTGATTGCCTTCTGTTCAGGAGGTTTCAGTGTTGGTGTTGCATCTGGAGCCAGGTGACTAATGAGTTAACATATTCTATAGCAGATGCCACTGGCTAAGCCAAAAGTAAGTGGCCCATTGACTCAGGAATTGTTCCCTACAAAGCTCTCATCTATAACTGATAAACATATTCAGGAACTGCTCCTGGTTATTTTCAGCTGGGTTTGCCCATAGTTCAATTGGTTCCTTAAGTATGTATTTATAGTAAAGCTAACTTAGGATCTGTTTATTTGAGCAGTATTTTATTCTGCTCATACTTGAATTATGGAAGTTTTCACCTTTCCTCAGAATTCATCCAGTTGGCGAAGGACTTTGAGGATTTCCGGAAGAAATGGCAGAGAACAGACCATGAGCTGGGGAAATACAAGGATCTTTTGATGAAAGCAGAGACTGAGCGTAGTGCTCTGGATGTTAAGCTAAAGCATGCACGAAATCAAGTGGATGTAGAGATTAAACGGAGACAGCGAGCTGAGGCTGACTGTGAAAAACTGGTGTGTATTGTTTTCTATGCTAGAACAGTGGTGGTTCAAGGGAAGCATCATCTGAGAATCTTTCCACTTGCCAAAGATACCAAGTTTCCTCCACATTAAAGAACTGAAAGTGACCAGTCCTTTGACATCTTCCAGTGATTGGAACTGGAATTGTAGCCTATGACTCATAAAATTAAAATTTTTTTATCTTTTAGACTTGAAACTGTTACTCAATAGACAGATTATAAGTGAGAATTTAGAGTTAAAATGGTGGGGAAGGCAGGAAAATTCTAGTGTTCTTGATCTATCACAAGTTATTGGCCATCCCACAGTTTATTATAAGTGTTCCCCAGAATGTCTTCATCCTTAAGTGAATAGTGGGAATATTATATATATTGTCATATATACAGGCAAGGAAACTTGAACTTTTCCTTTCATCACTGCTCTATAATTTAGGGTAGAGGGCTAGATGTAGTTAACCAGTTGAGCAATGTAACTGACATAGAACACTATCATTTTGATGTGCCAGGGTGCAGCAAAGGAAAGCCCTTTTCTTGAAGGGACTAATCCATCTTGGTTCAGTGTTAGATGCCTCAGTAAGCTCAAATTGTCTGGCTCCAGTGCATTACAGCTTTGTATTTATTTTAATGCATTTTGCTCCACCATTTAGAAAGGCAAGTGACTCCTTTGATCCTTAGGAAAAGTCAATAGTTGTCCTTATAAAATGACACTAAAATGTTTTTGCTATGTGAAATCTATTTTGGGACTCTCATTTTGCATTACTTTCCTCTTGGATTAGCAGTTTGATCCAAAAGTATTATAGCAGAAACCCCACTATTCTAGATGGAGTTCATTTTAACAATCAGAAATCAGAGCCACAATCTAGGCTTGATGTGAATTAATATGCTATTGGTGTAGCCACCTTCCTGAAGGCCCATTTGCATAATGCTGTATTTTAATGTCTTCTGGTCTGCTTGTTCCATAAATTTGAGGTGATGCTTTCTTCCCTGGCTAGTTATGATATTTTACCCTGCTTTGGTTTATAGGAACGACAGATTCAGCTGATTCGAGAGATGCTCATGTGTGACACATCTGGAAGCATTCAACTAAGTGAGGAGCAAAAATCAGCTTTGGCTTTTCTCAACAGAGGCCAACCATCCAGTGGCAATGCTGGGAACAAAAGGTGGGAAAACTGCATCTGTTGTTATCTGATCACAAGCAACCCAACTGTCAGAAGTTCCTGTTATCTGAACTCTTAAATATACTGCTTCTGAAATGTGTGCTGAAGAAAGCAGAAAAAGATTGGGAGAAGGGTGGTAGGTAATAAAGGCACAGGGATCTCTCACTCTCTTTCTTTTCTTTTTTTTAAATCATCTCTCCTTAGGATGTTGTCTCACTAGGGGTAAAATTATGATGTCAGGGCTAAATTGCACATCAATAACTAATCCTACACATTGCTAAGAAACCTAAAGGTGAAAGTGGCATTTCAGCAATACTTTTAGTGTTTACTCTCCAGAGATCTCTTATAGCTTTTCTGGTTTAGAAAGGCTGCTGTGAGCCTAAGACTAGACAGTAATTTTGTTTCACAGTATCACTATTTAAAATAGTCTCAGCCAAATTTCAAATTGAATACCCCAATACAATAAGTAGGGAAAGGTCAGCATTCTTAGAACTGTTTGTTTTGTTGCTTGGTTGTTTTATGGGGAATCTTTATAACTAAGAAGATAAATGGACTTCATTTCTTAAAAGCCAATGCTTGATAATACTGTCTTGTAGAAAGCAGCCATAATTGGGATCAAATGAAACTTCAACTCTTTGCCTTGTGAATTTTTAGTAACCTGTAGTATAGAGTCAGTAGGGAATAGCACCAATAGCCCTGGCTATAACTTTCACCTGCTGCTATGAGCCCTCCTGAAAAAGCAACTATGCTACACCTGTATTTTGCACACATTCCTATAAAAACATAAAAAAGCAACCATTGCAGCCAGGGTTTGAACTCATAGTTGTTTCCTTAGAGAAAATATGCAACGAACTTGCTCCTGTTACCTGACCAGAGGGACTTGTTCTGAATATTGGTGGGTTTTATTTTCTATAGTCTTGTGTGTCTAACAGTTTATTGTTTTGTTCATCTAGGCTGTCAACCATTGATGAATCTGGTTCAATTTTATCAGATATCAGCTTTGATAAGACTGATGAATCACTGGTAATAAACATTTGATCTCAGATAATATTTACTTTTCTTAATCCTGCTCCCTGAGGAGCATCTCTCCTATTCTCTTCTGGACACCCTTTATTACTGCTTTATTAATTGATATGTTATGGATTCAGAGACAGCAACTTATAAGTTGTGAGAGATTATCTTAAAAGTATATATTTATTTAGTTTCTAGAAGTGAAAATGTAGAATTCAAGATTTGGCCTGAGTTCAAGTTTATTTAAAGCATCTCTGAGCTGCATGTACTAATTGATATCTGTACTTATTAAAGCCCCAGGTAACAATAAGAACTTTTCAAGACTATCTAGGCAGAGTTTATTTGCTGCTCTTGGAGTTAATACATTTGTGCCTTCTTTCTTTTTAAAAATTTTTTAGTTATAGATGGACACAATACTTTTATTTTATTTATTTATTTTTATAAAATACTGACGATCAAACCCAGTGCTTGCTAGGCAAATACTCTACTACTGAGCCCCAGCCTCAGCCCCTTTCTCTTTTTTGTGATATGGATTGAATCCAGAGGTGCTGTACTACTGAGCTATGTACTTAGCGTTTTTTATTTTTTTATTTTCAGACAGCGTCTCCCTAAGTTGTCTGTGCTGGCCACTTAGAATCTTTCTCCTTCAGCCTCTTCTAGTCACTGAGATTGTAGGCATGTGCCACCGCACCTGGCTGACCTGTGCCTTATTTCTGAATTAGTTTTCTAGAGGAAAGGTAACTATACTTTGCAATTAAAAGGAAACCAAGGGTAGTGACACACATCTGCAGTCTCAACTACTGGGAGGCTGTAGCAGGAGGATCATAAATTTGAAGCCAACCTCACCAATTTAGCAAGAACTTGCCTTAAAATAAAATAAAAGGACTGGGTTGTCACCCAGTGGTAGGAGGCCTCTAGGTTGAATCCCTAGTACTGCCCTTGCTCCCCCCTCCACCAAAAAAAAGAAGAAAGCCAAAGTGCTAGGACTTCAGCCAGAAAAATGTGATGAGAATTTCTAGTCAGTGTATAGTGCTTTGCTAAATGAATAACATGTTTAAACTCTTTGTAACCTGCTTTTATGAGCCAGCATCCTTCTTTTACTTTTTGATGATGTTTTTGTGTAAAAGGTCATCTCCTGATAGATATGCTGGTCTTTTTTTATTTAGGAGACTGGTAGTTCATTGATTGTATCTTTTTTTTTAGATTTCTTTTTTAGTTGTAGATGGGCACAATATCTTTATTTTGTTTATTTATTTATTTTTCTGTGCTGAGGATCAAAACCCAGTGCCTCACACATGCTAGGCAATCGCTCTACCATTGAACCACAACCTCAGCTCTGATTAGTGTATCTTTTTTGTTACTGGCAGAAACTTAGCAAACAAAAGAATAAATCAGAGGAACTTATTGGTGGTTGATTTTTCTGCCATAGCAAAACAAGTGACAACTACTTGTAACATGCCTAGGAGTTTTCTGGCCAAACTCAGTGTTAGACAAGGTGTGAAATATGGCCATTTTGTGGATATAAATACTAGGCAACCCTTTTTTTTTTTTTTTAAAGTATTAGCATCTAATAGGTGATGGATCCTCACTTGTTTTTTTTTTTTTTTTTTTAAGAGAGAGTGAGAGAGGAGAGAGAGAGAGAGAGAATTTTTAATATTTATTTCTTAGTTCTCGGCGGACACAACGTCTTTGTTGGTATGTGGTGCTGAGGATCGAACCCCGAACCCGGGTCGCACGCATGCCAGACGAGCATGCTACCGCTTGAGCCACATCCCCAGCCCTAGGCAACCCCTTTTTGAAGCAAAGAATAATATAGAGTAGGTCTTGGCTATATAATAAAAACAACAGCTTATTAGCTGATTTTTGAGCTAGATCTGTTATGATATTTCTTATAACTGAAACCGAATCAAATAACCAGAAGCTAAATTACTTGAGTATAAATTGAGGAATTTGAATTTATTTAGCCTAGGTGCTATTTGCTATATGTGACAGGGACAATCAGAAATAAGGAAATCACAGGTAAAAAAACTTCAGCGAATGCATATGGTTAGAATAAGTGACTTGAAACTAGACCATAGTAAAAAATTCTTCAGGGTAAAGAAGAATTTTTTTTTTTTTTTTTTTTTCCGGAGTGGGGATCTTAGAAAGAGGAATAATTGAGAGACACAAAACTAAACTCGAATTTAAAAAATATATATTTATTTTTTAGTTGTAGTTGGACACAATACCTTTATTTATTTTTATGTGGTGCTGAGGATCAAACTCAGGGCCCTGCACGTGCTAGGCGAGCACTCTACTGCTAAGCCACAAACCCAGCCCCCTAAACTCAAATTTTTTAAGTAGCAATAGAACATCTGATTAGACACTAGCAGTCCCTTAAGGGAAAGAATCATATCTAACATGATCAATATAGTGCCTAGCATTCTGTAAGTTCTAAAATTAATTACAAAAATAATCAGAAATAAAGGACAAGGCACTGGAAATAATTACTATAGCAGTTGATTCTTTAACCTTTTCATGCCTCTGTGATATTGATTCCTGATTCTATTATAACAGCTTCAGTTTTTGAAAGAAAGCATATTAATATACTAAGTAGCTCTAAAGCTACAACACTGGAGATCTTCCCTTTCCTCTCCAATTATAGGTTAGGCATTCTGACTCAAGAAGCCTTGAAAGTTCCCTGTAAATTTATTTGCATGGCTTTAGGAGAGTCCTAACCAAAGAAATAAATTAATGCAGTATAATTGTCAACAGGATTGGGATTCTTCTTTGGTGAAGAATTTCAAATTGAAGAAGAGAGAAAAGAGGGTAGGTATTTCTTTCTTTTTCTTTTTTTTTGGTTACAAAAGTAACAACTCGAGTGTGTTTTTCTAGAAATTTTGCTATGGTACCCCATTCCTGATACTTGTTCTAGTCATTGTTAGATACATATTACTGAAGGATTTATGCTGTAGGGCTGGTATTAATAGTCTTTGAGGAAGTGACTCAGGACAGAATTCTGTCCTATTTCACTTGTCTGGGCTGCATCTCATACAGTAGAAATGGAAATACTTAAGTTTGTTTTGAGTTGTCATTTGAATTTTTATGGCAGACTTTGTGCTGTAATATAAGCTTCAGATGAAATGTGTGTATAATAGGATATAGAGATCTATCTGTGTCTGCTTGTTTAGGGTACCTAATGTGTTTCTATAGACTTCATGTACTTAGATAGGATTACAGCTCTACTTTTTCTGGCACTGTCATCTAAATTTCTCCAAAGCTTGTTTCTTTTTCTAGGGCACTGAGGGCATTTTTATGTTTGTACGACTTATTCTTCATTTAGAAATGGGCAATGAGAGAGAGCACATTGTCATTTACTGTAGCCCTGGGTCTTAGGACTTACATCCATTTGTCTGATGGAATAATTTTATCTTCTGTGCTTCAGATATACTTGGCCCTAAGGTTTTTGGTCTTTGTCCCCTCTCTAGCGCTCCAATAGCCGACAGTTTGTTGATGGACCCCCTGGTCCTATAAAGAAAACTCGTTCCATTGGCTCCACAGTAGACCAGGTAAGAAGAGTAAGGCCAAGAGAACTGTGGTCTTGATCATACCACAGATTAGTACTCCTGAGCATTAAAAACACTGTATTCAACATTGCAGTGTTATTTTGAGATGTATTTGATAAGAGCTTTCCTATGTGATAAGATTCTTATCCTCCAGATTACTCTTAATAAGTAAATAGTTGTCAGCTGTAGGTTTGCTTCTTTGTTGCTTATGTGTATGTGTACACACACATACATATATTCCTGTGATTGCACACACATATATATATTCCTGTGACTGAAATTTATATTTTGAAGTATGAAATTTCAACTTTGGTATAGTGGAAGAGAAAGTTAGAATCTTTATGTTCCTCCTTCTCTTATTATTACTTTTGTTACAGGGAAATGAATCCATAGTTGCAAAGACTACAGTAACTGTTCCCAATGATGGTGGGCCCATTGAAGCTGTGTCCACTATTGAAACTGTGCCATATTTGACAAGGAGCCGAAGGAAAACAGGTCTGTTAGTTTGTGAATAAATTGCCTGTTAAAACCACTGATAACTGCCAGGCATGGTTGTGCACACCTATAATCCCAGCAACTTAAAAAAATTTAAAGAAATGGCTGGTGATGTGGTTAAGTGGTAGAGCACTGCTGGGTTCAAATCTTAGTACCTCATCTCTACCCCAAATCTCTAAAACAGCTAGTAAAAATTTGAGAGAATTGGTTTCATTTTTCTTTTTTTAATTAGTTCATTTTAGTTATGCATAATATTAGGATTCTTTTTTGGTGGGTGGGGGTTGGGTACCAGGTATTGAACTCGGGATATTGAACTATTGAGCCATATCCCCAGCCCTATTTTGTATTTTATTTAGAGACAGGGTCTCATTGAGTTGCTTAGAGCCTTGCATTTGCTGAGGCTGGCTTTGAACTCACGATCCTCCTGTCTCAGCCTCCCGAGCTGCTGGGATTACAAATGTGCGTCACTGCACCGGGCCTAGGAGTCTTTATTTTTAATTTTTTTAGTTGTAGATGGACACAATACCTTTATTTATTTTTATTTTTAGATGGTGCTGGGGATCGAACCCAGTGCCTCACCCATGCTAGGCAAGTGATCTACCACTAAGCCACAACCCTGGACCCTTAGGATTTGTTCTGACATAATTATATAAGCATAGAATATAATTTGCTCTAATTCAGTCCCAGCACGTCCCCTATCCCTTCCTTTCTCCTTCCTTCTGTTCCCTTACCTCTACTCCTCTGATCATGAGAGAGTTGTTTGCTTAGAAGCCCTGGAGATAGGGGTTGGTTGTAGTGGGTAGTTTCTTTTTGATGTCTACTGAGAACCAGAGATGTGTTTGTGTCATGCTTTACCTTCAGGTTGCTATCCTCATCTGTGCCATTGTATGTAACTTAGTTTTTCTTGAAACTTTTTCTTTGGCAAAGCTCTTGGAATTCACTTTTGGTTATGCTTACAGATTACTGTTTATCAATTAAATTAAAAGTGGGGCTAAAATTCAAATTTTTAAGACGAAGTTTAAATTTGCTTGTTTTCTAGGTACTTTACAACCTTGGAACAGTGACTCCACCCTGAGCAGTAGACCTCTGGAGCCAAGAACCGAGAATGAGAGTTCAGGCACACCACAGAGTAATGGAGGGATGCGCCTGCATGACTTTGTCTCTAAGACGGTAGATCTGTGATTGCTTCATTTTCTTTCAGGACTCTTAATATTTTAATTGAAAAGTAATATGTACTGGAATAAATATAAACACTTTAGTGTTATAAAGTTAAATTTCAAATTCCTTTCCTCTTTCCAATCTCAATCTCCAGGGGTAACTCCTGATTATGGAGGCTTGTATTAAACAACTTTTTAGAAATAATTGTACTTTCAGTAATACATGCTTAAATTTTGTACTTGAATGTGGCATCTTTTTCTGTTCGAGGGATTGAACCCAGGAATGCTTTACTACTGAGCTGTATCCCCAGTTCTTTTTATTTTTTTGAGACAGATTCTCACTAAATTGCTTAGAGCTTAAAGTGCTGAGGCTGGCCTTGCGATCTCCTGTCTTAGCCTCCTGAGTCTGAGGTTATAGTCATATGCCATATTTGAAAACATAGCAGGTTTTCAAAATGTTTTAACTTTATACCATTTGGTTTCCTCATAAAAATCCAAGCACAAACCAACAAGCTTACAGGAGTTAATTGACTTGTTTGAGCCATATGATAGTGGCAGATTTAGCATCCAGGTTTTCTGACAAGTTGTCAAGAGACAAGTTCTTTCCACTACTATATACTGCTGTCTTCCAGGTGGATAGCTTCAGGCAAGTTACTTAACCTCCTTTTGTTTCTGTTTTCTTATCTTAAAATGAAGAAAACAAACCTGCTTTATTGGATTTTTTGGAAAATTACATAAAAAGCATGTATAAGGACCTTAGAAGTATGTTTGGCACATACTAAATGTTCAATAGATATCGGTGACAATGAAGATAATTTTGGTTTTTTGTTTTGTTTTGTTTTATCCTTAGGTTATTAAACCTGAATCCTGTGTTCCATGTGGGAAACGGATAAAATTTGGCAAGCTGTCTCTGAAGTGTCGAGATTGTCGTGTGGTTTCTCATCCAGAATGTCGGGACCGCTGTCCCCTTCCTTGCATTCCTACTCTGATAGGAACACCTGTCAAGATTGGAGAGGTGTGACTCAAGTGGCTTTTTAGCCTTTCAAAGGCTTAATTTTGGTTTTTGTTCTAAAATTATGGATGCTGAATACATTTTCCTCCATGAACAATGAATAGAAATTGTAAAATGTTAACTTGTAGCAAAGTTCTATTGGGTTTGCCTGTTCAATAACCTTTTAAAACAAACTCCTCTTCCCTCCCCTCTTTATTCCTGTTTCCTTACTCCCTCTCCTTTTTTCTTCCTCCTCTTCCTTACTTTATACTCTCTTTCCATCCTATCCTATTTTGGAAAATTTCAGACATAAACGAAAGTATACAGGTCAATGCTTGGTTCAGTGGCACATGCCTATTATCCCAGTGACTCAGGTTGCTGAGGCAGGAGGATCACAAGTTCAAGGCCAGCTTCAGCAACTTAGGCCCTAAGCAACTTAACAAGAACCTGTTTCAAAATTTAAAAAAATACATAAAAAGGATTGGGGATATAGCTCAGTGGTAAGTTTCCCCTGGATTCAGTCCCTGGTACCCACCCCCCTCCCCACCCCCCAAAAAAGTATGCAGATTAATGTGACTACTGACTCTATCAGTTTTCTTTTATGATTACTAACTCAAGTCCATTTAATTTTTTTAAAGTTTTTGGGTGCTGGGAATTAAACTCAGAGGTGCTTAACCATTGAGTTACATCCCCAGACCTTTTTTCTATTTTATTTAGAGACAGGATCTTGCTGAGTTGCTTAAAATCTCTGCTAAGTTGCTGAGGCTTTGAACTTGCAGTCTTCCTGCCTCAGCCTCCTGAGCCACTGAATTATAGGCGTGTGCCACTGTACCGGCTACACACGTCCATTCTTGATTTACTAATTCTCGTATCACCTCCTCCCCACCTTTACCAGTAAATTGTTTAGAAATTGATTATATAACAATATTAGTAAGAATTAAAGCAAAATAACAACATTGACACCCACCTCTCAGAAAATCAAATGTTATTGTTCTCTTAATCTTAATAGTTCTTATAAGTGTTTATGGGTTTTTTATGGTATTTCTGTAATCATGGAGTTCTCCCCTATACAGTGAGTTTATATCATGATCAGCTATGAATTGTGCTAAATAATTTTTTTGCTAAGAATGATTAAAATGTAAAAAGATTTTCTTTTTCAAAATAATAAAGACCATACCTATAATCTCATTATTGCTTGCTTTCTGCTGCCCTTGAGAAGAGATGGAGGCAGTCATAGCTGGTGGTCTTATTATTTGTTCATGCAAGAGTATGGTATATATGATCATAAATCAGTCTTAGTTTGGAGGTAGAAAAAATAATTGAGAATCTGTTTTAATATGTTTTTTGAGAAAAGGAATTTAAAAGCTGACATGTATCCCAGATTTAGCATTAGTCTAGAAGTGATTTTTTTTTTTAATTTGTTCTAGTTAGTTATGCATTCTATTTTTTTTTTTTTAAAAAGAGAGAGGAGAGAGAGAGAATTCTTTATTTATTTTTTAGTTCTCGGCGGACACAACATCTTTGTTGGTATGTGGTGCTGAGGATCGAACTCGGGCCGCACGCATGCCAGGCGAGCGCGCTACTGCTTGAGCCACATCCCCAGCCCCAGTTATGCATTCTATATGACAGTAGAATAGAAATGGTTCTTAAATGCATAGTTCTCCTCTGTTGGTCTAAATGGTGTAAATAATAATTGGAAACTCTGTTTTTTAGGGAATGCTGGCTGATTTTGTGTCCCAAACTTCTCCAATGATTCCCTCTATTGTTGTCCACTGTGTAAATGAAATTGAGCAGAGAGGGCTAACTGAGGTAAGAGTGAACCCTAGAACAGGGTGAATTTATTGTTTGTGTTAATAATTAGGAGATTCTTACCTAAAATTTTCATCTTGATAATAGACTGGCTTGTATAGGATCTCAGGCTGTGATCGGACAGTAAAAGAGCTGAAAGAGAAATTCCTCAGAGTGAAAACCGTACCCCTTCTCAGCAAAGTGGATGATATCCATGCCATCTGTAGCCTTCTAAAAGACTTCCTTCGAAACCTCAAAGAACCCCTTCTAACCTTTAGGCTAAACAAAGCCTTTATGGAAGCAGCAGGTATGGGCATACATATATTAACACCTGAATGTGAGTTCCACCAGAACTGGGCTTTTTTACTATTTTATCCTTGACCTAGTACAGGGCCTGAAACAGTAGATACTCATGATAGTTTGAATAACCATGTACGTATTCCCTACGATTGTCCCCTCTTCCTTTCTGTATAGGGTATTAATAGGTTTTGTTGTTGTTATTTGTTTGTTTTGCCTTTGTCATTGCTCTTATTTTTTGTTCAAGTGTCAGGTTGTCCTTTAGAAATTGGAACCATCTTGATTTATTTTCCTGATACCAAGAGTGGTATTAGAGGTGCTACTATCCCTTTTGTCATACTCTTCCCCTGGAATATGATAAGAACCTGCTAATTGATTGTCCTGTTTCTACTCTTGCCTGGTATTGTCTGATCTTTACACATGAGCTAGAGTATAGAGTAGTCCTTTTAAAATTTAAGTTAGATGATATCCCTCTGTCCTCATTTTCCTCCATTGGCTTCCCATTACTTCAGAATGAAGTCGATAATCTTTAACATAGCCCAAAAGGCCCTCCTTAACTAGAAGCATTTGGCTTCTAGTTATGTCTCCAACACCATTTTGGATGGTTGAATTTTTGCACATCTTAGAATGTACTAAGCTTGCTCCCCACCTCAAGTCCATCACATTTGTTGTTTCAGCCTTGACTACTTTCTAGATAAGTATGTGGTTTGCCCCTTTATTTCATCTGAAGTCTCTCTTCAGATGTATTATGCTTAGAAACACCTTTCCTGACCACTAGTCTCAAGTAACAGCTCCCATTACTTTCTAACTTCTTGCCTGCCATCTTTACTACATGTATCACAATTTGATAACCTGGTACATACGTAGTAGGCCCTTAAATATGTCTTATGAATTCATGAGTATCTTCTTGGTAATTGTCACTGTGGTTTTAGGTCTGTCTTCCTAGCATGGCTTGTCAACTACTTTCCCTAACTGCAAGGGTGATTTTTAAAATGCTCTGACTTCTAATATTGAGCTGTTGGCCAGTGTCCTGCTTTTTAATGAAAGAAGAGTCTGATGCAGTCATGAACCTAATCAGAAGTTTCAGAAGCTTACTGTATAGATGAGACTTTGTGGTCGATAACCTGGAGGCCCGCTGTCAAGGGAAAGAAGTCCAGGCCTCTAGGTGCTTTCTTTTCATTTATAGAAATCACAGATGAAGATAACAGCATAGCTGCCATGTACCAGGCTGTTGGTGAACTACCTCAGGCCAACAGGGATACATTAGCCTTCCTCATGATTCACTTGCAGAGGTTAGTACAACAGAAACTTGTTCTGGGAATTAGGGAATTTTCCAAGGAGAATATAATGTGGATTGGGTGTTAGGGAGTGTGAGAGGTGAATTGTTTTCTTGTAGAATTTATATTTTGGTCTGCATTTAAGTGGTTGAGCAAGTTACCTAACCTAATACTCATTTTGATTAGAGTGGCTCAGAGTCCAAACACTAAAATGGATGTTACCAATCTGGCTAAAGTCTTTGGTCCTACAATTGTTGCCCATGCTGTGCCCAATCCAGACCCAGTGACAATGTTACAGGACATCAAACGTCAACCCAAGGTAGGCACGGGTATATGTATAGATTTGTGTTTATGTGTGTATGTTCATATAAAATGTATGAACTTATGATGCAGTACGATACATGAGAGGTTAATGACAAGTAAGCTTTAAGCTTTCGGAAGTTTGAAAACATATTTGGTAACTTCTAGGTGGTAGAACGCCTGCTTTCACTGCCCCTGGAATACTGGAGTCAGTTCATGATGGTGGAGCAAGAGAACATTGATCCTCTGCATGTTATTGAAAACTCAAATGCCTTTTCAACACCACAGACACCAGATATTAAAGGTCAGGCCTAAATTGTGTTTCTTCAACAACTTGCTTCTCTTTAGTTTTGGTCATGTGCTCTCTTCTCTGTCTTTACTATAACTGAAATTCCTATTCAATAAAAATTAAATGTATATTGAAAATTCTAACATTAAAGGAAAACTGGTACCATTTTTTTTTTTTTTTACTTTTCCATGTACTCCCCCCCATATATATGTATGTGTATATATGTGTGTGTGTGTGTGTGTGTGTGTTTGTGTGTCTATGTTTGTTTGCTGTAACCGAGGATTGAACCCAGGGGTGCTTAACCCCTGAGCTACATCTCCAACCCTTTTTTAATATTTTATCTAGAGACAGTACCCTGAGTTAATACCTTGCTACATTGCTGAGGCTTGCTTTGAACTTGCGATCCTCCTGCCTCAGCCTTCCAAGCCAGTGGGATTACAGGTGTGCACCACTGTGCCTGGCTTGAATATATATATATAATTTTTTAAAAATTTTTTAGTTGTAGTTGGACACAACACCTTTATTTCACTTGTTTATTTTTGTATATGGTGCTGAGGATCCGAACCCAGGGTCTCGAACGTGCGAGGCGAGCACTCTACCGCTAAGCCACAACCCCAGCCCTTGGGGAAAAAAAAAAAATATATATATATATATATATATTTAAATTAATTAATTAATTTATTTTATATTTTTCCAGTTTTCGGTGGACACAACATCTTTATTTTATTTTTATGTGGTGCTGAGGATCGAACCCTGCACCCCGAGCATCCCAGGCGAGCGCGTTACTGCTTGAGCCACATCCCCAGCCCTTGAATATATATTTTTAATGTAGATATAATAATAGCTTAGAGACAATTTGTTCCTATTTCACATAGTATATTGTGATAATTTTGTGAGCATATTGTGAGTTGTGTACTTTTATTTTATTTATATATCGTTTTTTTGGTACTAAAGATTTAACCCAGCAGTGGTTTACCACTCAGTCATATTCCCAGCCCTTTTTAATTTTAAAAAAAAGAGTCTCACTAGGGGCTGGCGTTGTGGCTCAGAGGTAGAGCGCTTGCCTAGCATGTGTGAGGCACTGGGTTTGATCCTCAGCAACACATTAAAAAATACACACACACACACACACACACACACACACACACACATAGTGTCTACCTATAACTAAAAAATAAATATTTTTTTTAAAAGAGTCTCACTAAGCTGCTGAGGCCAGCAACTCACACGTTGTGGTAGATAGTGGCATTATTTTTCATGGTTACAAATAATGCTGCAGCCAACATATACATATACCCTAATGATAAATTCCTATAAGTGGGGGTTACTGAATTAAAAGGTTTGATAACATTTTTTATGTTTTTTGATATGTTTTACCAACTTGATTTCTTTCTTTTTTGGTAATGGGGATTGAACCCAGGGGTGCTTAACCACCAAGCCACATCCTCAGCCCTTTTTTATGTTTTATTAGAGACAGGGTCTCACCGAGTTGCTCAGGGCCTCGCTAAGTTAATGAGGCTGGCTTTGAACTTGTGATCCTCCTGCCTTAGTCTCCTGAGTTGCTGGGTTAATAGGCATATGCCATCATGCCTATCTCCCAACTTCATTTCTTTCTTTCTTTTTTACTTGTAGATGGTCACAATACCTTTTTATTTATTTTTATTTGGTGCAGAGGGTCGAACCCAATGCCTCACACATGCCAGTCAAGTCAAGTGCTTTACATAGAGCTACAACCCCAGCCCCCGCAACTTGATTTTTTAAGGCTTTTATCAGTTTATATTGCTATCAACAGTTTTATATGAATAGGGTGATTTCATTCCAACCCCACTGGCATTGGATATGTTTTTTTTTTCATTATTACTTTTTTCATTATTGCAAGTTTCTTTTTAAGAAAGCATATTATTTCTTCTAGTATAAGTAAAAACCAAATATCCAGATGTTTGTGTGAAGTTTGGAGTTTGAGAATGTTCTAACTCAGGCAGTGAATGCCAGCTATTTATTGAATAGTTGCCTTCATAGTTCAAAAGATACACCTACGTGTTACAAAAATTATGACAAAAATAATGTGGTACTTTGCTTTGTGCCTAATCTTAGCTCTTAAATGCTTCAGAAGGCAGTCAGCTTAAAACTGGTCATCTTTAAGGGTGCTTTCTTTTTTCTCTTTTAAAAATATGTCTGAATTCTTCTTTTGAAGTGAGCTTACTGGGGCCCGTGACTACTCCTGAGCACCAGCTTCTCAAGACTCCATCATCCAGCTCCCTATCCCAAAGAGTCCGCTCTACCCTCACCAAGAACACTCCCAGGTATTCAGAATTAGATAACTCCTTCTTTAGACTTCTTTTCTGATATATCAAATATATTGAAAGAAAAATCAAATCAGATCTTAAGCTAGCAACTAGATTTTAAAAGTAAAATTAGAGCTATAGGACTACCTTCTTAAGAAAGGGTCTAAAGATTATTAATTATTTCCCCTCTCATTTCAGGTGACTAAGAGTACCTAACAAAATAGTTGTCTAGGGGTTCCTATTTTTAGTTGATTATATAATATTATGGTTGATTGTTCATTGTTTTATATAGAATACTTTTTTCTTTCTTTCACTCTCTTTTTTTTTTTTTTTTTTAATATGTGTGTGTATGTGTAGATTTGGGAGCAAAAGCAAGTCTGCCACCAACCTAGGACGACAAGGCAACTTTTTTGCTTCTCCAATGCTCAAGTGAAGTCACGTCTGCCTGATACTTCCCAGCATTTACCAACTGCAGGAAAGGGCACACCTGTACTCTCTGCTCTGCAGCCTTCTGTACTACTTTTAGCATTCTCCAGGCTTTTAATCAAGTTTAATTGTGCATGAGGGTTTTATTAAAACTATATATATATATCTCCCTCTTCTCCTCCTCCAGTAACATTTTATCAGCACTTTGTGCTGTCGTTGTTGGGAACTTTCAGATGGGAGATCCCTATAGGGGTTGAAGGAGAAATATGGAATTATGGTTCTTTTGGGGTCAGGAGGCATCCCTTTGGCTTGAAGCCAAATGCTGCTCCTGGAATGACTTTTCTCTAGTGTTATTTAACTCATCTCCATGAGACAATGACAGAAACCCTGCCTCTTTGGTACGGGTAGGAAGTGAGGGGACAGGGTAAAGAAAAGATTAGTCAGAGAATTTAGGATGATTCCTTCTCAGAACCTGCAATTTCCCTTTTCCCATTATGAATTAAACTATAGCATGGAACCTTCATAAATAGGATAGGTTGAGGACAGAACTAGTCATGGGAGTATGCATAGCTTTAATTTGGATTGATTAGTTCTTAAGGTCTTGAAGTGACACAACCTTGTGAATGTGATACTTCTTTTTATCTCTGATGGGTGACTTGCTGGACTTTGGGTTTTATTGGGGTCATAGCCAGTTTGTTGTTTTAAAGTTGAATTCATTCTGATGCCTCACCCTCCCACCTTTTGTCCAGTAGATTCCTATTTCTAAAGGTTAGTATGCTGTTTGTCATCCCAGCTAACAAATAAGATGAGGCTGTAGGGAAGACTGTCAATATTTCATGTGGCAAGAAAAACCACAGTCATTTTTGTCTTTGCACTTTGGATGCTAAAATTTTTCCATCTATAGAATGTTTTTGACTCATATTATCCCTTGTCTGTAAGACATATTTGGAAAAAAGTAAATAGCTTTTTCAAAAGAAACTTGAGGTTGGTTTTCTTGTCCCAGATGTTAACCTTCAATGCCTTTTCAATATTATCTTTCCTCAAGGTGTGTTGAACCTGTTGTTCTGTCCATTTGCCACTCTCTGGACCCATCCCACCTGACCACCTCCAGAAGTTTGTTTATTTCTCATTCAGTCTTTCTTTGTCCAATTCAAAGTTCTATATTTGTCCTATGACTTTTATCCTTACATTTGAAGAAAGTACTTTAAACAAAAAACAAACTTTTAAAACCTGTCTCTGGGGACTAGAATGGTGCAAATTAAAAAAAAAAAAATTGCTACTGGCTGGCTGGCTGGCTGCCTGCCTGCCTGCCTGCCTGGCTGCCTGGCTGCCTGGAACATCCTTCACTGCTGGAAATGACTCTGGAGTGAGCTGGGATGATTAACTGAGGGCACCTGCACTTGGAACTCTGAAGCTGGTGAACAGAATGTATCTGAGATTGAACGTAAACAGTTGCAGGCTTAATATGTAACCGTGGAGAGAGGAGGCAACCTACTGGCTTTTTTCCCAGGAGGGGGCAGCTCTCACAGCAGGGCCCATCTGCCTCAGCAAATTGACAGAGGATGGGTCCCATCTCCCCATACTCCCCTTCACACACATGCCTGCTAGGCTTTTTTTTTAACTTTTTCTAGATGCTACCTCTTATGTCTTTGCAAGCATCAAGTTGGCCTGGCTCCATATTTGCTGTTCTGCAGTATCTCCCCAAGGTGCATTTGAAGTCACTAATGTAGAGGAAGTAAATGGATTGTGTAACATTAGTGAAGGCAAGACTACCCTATGCAGGAGTTAATGGCCCATTAACGAAAAAGGAAATGGTCCTATGTGTCAAACATTGGCAGCTAGTTGCTCAGTTTTTGGCCTAGGCCAAGAGACCTTAACCATGAATATAATTCTGGTATTAGCAAAGGGAAATATATATATATATATATATAATCTCCTCTTTCAACTTTAATAGGACTTCATGTGGAACAACTTGACTTTTGAGGGTTTTCATAATTATGTTTTCTCGAGGTGAGATCTGTGGAAAGGAGTCCAAGTGTTTGGGGTGGCTGTCACCCCATCTCTTGGTCTTAGTGCTTTCTGATTCTGCTTCTTACTCTTATTATTTCACTTTCTGAGAATGGGAATCTTTTTAAATAACAGCATTTACCTCCATCCTTCTCAATTTGTAAGACTCCAAAGTTTGATGTTTATTTAACCGGGCAAGCATTACATACATGGTTTGATTCAGCAGCAACAATTTGCATTTATTACTGGGTATTTAATGATTTTTCTTTCCTTTAGAAAGTGAATTTGTTACTTGTAGAGACAGAAGGCAAGAAGGCTTTTTGAGTTTGAATCAGAGAAATCAGTCATTTTGGGGTATGAAGTGAACCTGTGGCAGTGAAAGGGGTCTTGCATTCTTTTTTTTTTTAATATTTTTTAGATGTTAATAAACCTTTATTTTATTCATTTATTTGTATGTGGTGCTGAGAATTGAACCCCGTGCCTTACACATGCTAGGCAAGTGCTCTACCACTGAGCTACAACCCCAGCCCGGGGTCTTGCATTCTTAAATTCATGCTTGAATTAGTGAGTGGCACAAAATGACATGGATTGCTGAGTGAGTGCAGGGAGCAAGGAATGGCTTGCTGTTTTTGTCTTCTTATGGTGGGTCTTCCTGACTACCTCTGACAGATAGATGACACATATACAGGTGTCCCCATTATTCTCAGGGGATGAGACCCCCCAGTGGTGCCTGAAACCGTGAGTAGTACCACAGCCCCAACACCACACACCCATGCTTTTTCCCATATGTATATGCCTATGATAAATTTTAATTTATAAATTAGGCACAATGAAAGATTAAAACTAAGACAAAACAATATTTCAAACCTATGTGAATGTAGTCTCTCTCAAAATAGAATTTTTGAGACTGAGAATATAGATCAGTGGTAGAGTACTTGCCTGCTTATGCTGGTTGTTGCTGGAAGCTTTTAGATATGAAATTTCACAGGGATAGAAGGGATAATACTGGCATAAGGCCCTGGGATTCCCCCCACACACATACACACAAATAGAATTTTTGTTTTCATGTTTGTCAGCATGTGGATTCTGTACACTTCTGGCTTTGTCATATGGTCTGTTGCATTGCCACATAATACTGTGTCCTATATTTTATGCCCTGATGCTGCTTTTGCACTTTTATCAATACAGACTATTAGGCATTTTTTTCCTAGAAGATCCCAGTTTCATCAAAATTGAAGGCTTGCTGTGGTGGCTTTACTCCTTAAATCAATTTGAGTTCTTCTAGAAATGTGGCAGCAGCAGCTTCTTTGGCAGACACAGCCTCTGCAGTAACTTTTTTTTTTTTTTTTCTGGTGGTACTGGGGATTGAACCCAGGGCCTCGTGCCTGCTAGCCAAGCATTCTACCACTGAACTATATCCTCAGCCTTCCAGAAATTTTTAAAAATATTTTTTCAGTCCAAATCTATTCCTGAGTCTATGTGACCATCATTTAGTTGCATCACTTAGTAAATGGCTAGATGTCACTAGTTTGAGTGGATCTCTTGCTGCAGTATTCAATAGGCTTAATGCTCTCTGGTGCAGCAGTCTTCGTTTGGAGCGTTTTCTGTTCATGTCTTCTACCCATAAATTGAATGCCTTCTCCGTATTTTTTGTTTGTTTCAGTACTGGGCATCAAAGCCAGGTTCTTACGTGTGAGCCAGCATTCTTCTTCTTTACTAAGTACTTACTACACACTTTCGTGGTTTTGGAATATAATAACAACAAAACTAGTACAAATTTATTTTTTCCTTCACAATTTCACAGATTTATTCTTAGCAACCTAGCATGATTTTTTTTTTTTTTTCAAGTAAAGAACTTTCACTTTTTCATGTAAAGGGAACATTTTATGGCTCCTCTTTAGCATGCCCAGATTGCCAGCTTCACAACTCTTGTATTTCGTGGGCCATTATTAAGTCTAATGGGTTACTTAATAGAGGCATTGTGAACCATGAGTTGATCTGATAAATAAGTAACATTAACAGGCAAGTGCTGTATATGATGTGAATATACTAGACAAAGCAATGATGCATATCCAGGTAGGACAGAGCAGAATGGCACAATATTTCATCATGTTTACTCAGAATGGTTCACAATTTAAAATTTAGGAATTGTTTATTTCTAGAATTTTCACTTGATATATATTTTTTTAATTTTTTTTTATTTTATTTTTTTTGAGAGAGAGAGAGAGAGAGAGAGAAATTTCAATATTTATTTTTTAGTTCTCGGCGGACACAACATCTTTGGTATGTGGTACTGGGGATCGAACCCGGGCCGCACGCATGCTAGACGAGTGCGCTACCGCCTGAGCCACATCCCCAGCCCATTCACTTGATATTTTTGGACAGTGTTTGACTTCAGAAAACTGAAAAATTTGTGAAACGCAGATGAGGTGGGGAAATACCATATCTATACATATATACATATCCACACATTATTATATATGTGTATATAACATATGTATACATTCACATACATACACACACACACACACACACACACACAGTGTATGACTTCCTATTGGAAAAACATTTAGGAGACACATTACTATAACTGGTATGGAGGACCTGGACTTGGTTTTCCTAATTATGCATTACTTTTAACTAAGTCTTGGGACATGAGCAGGGAAAGCTATTGTGGAAGTCCAGATTTGAGGAGTGAGGGTAGCATAGTGTTCATTGTTCAAGTTGGCACAGGTTACCATAGGTTTTAGATCAATATGTTTTAATACAGTCTTGGTGACAACTCAAATTTCAGACACTGCTACAAAAACTTTTAAGCCTGCAGAGTTTGGGCATGTTAGCGTTGTGCTTTTAGGGTAAACAGGGCTTGGAGAATGGCCTCTTAAGAAATTAGTAATTTTTTAAAAATATGCTTCCTGTAACTGGTATATTTTGTAAATAAGTGAAGGCACCAGGCCAGGAGGTTCCTAACTTGTGTAATTTATTAGACATTCATTCTCAGAACTATATTTGTTGATGGTTTCTATTCATGAAGTCAGGTGGAAGACAGCTTGACGTCACCAGGAATAACCTTGTAGTGTGAGAGCTTTGTCCTCTAACAAGTCATGAGGGATGGTGAAGGAGGACACTTTTCAGGGACTCATAGTTGGAGGCAGGAATTTTTCTTTTTATCTGCCTCTCCCTCTGTAACTCTTGCCAGGCTTCATTTAGCTTCATTGTTTTTTATACAGCAGTATCCTCATATCTCACACAGTTGGGTACCATCTGTGTGCTAGGCTCAGACACATATAAATGGATATTTAGACTTCTAATAAAGCACTTGCCAGTTACGATCTCTGGTCATCACTGAAGATGGAATTAAGAACTGATTTCTCCATAAAATCTCTAGGAAATTTAATATGGTGATTTATCATATTCAGAGGCTATCATCTACTTGATGTCACCACACCTATGTGAGGAAGGCAGGTCAGGCAGTATTTTCCCAATTGGGAAATTCAGAGGTGATTTGGCCCAGATTCCCACAAACTATAGTTTACCTGGGGTTAGAACCTCGGTGTTCCAGCTCTTATTCTAGAGGTCAGCACTGGTGTGGAGCCTGTTAATATGATATTGAGTATTAAATGCTATTAATGACCTTTGCTTAGGCCCAGTGTTATCTGTATCCCATTCAAGGAAGGGTGTGAGGTTTGCAAAGTGATCAAATATAAAATGAGCAAAACTAGCAGATGATCATTTAGGGAGTTCTCCCCATTATTATAATAACTTTTGTATGTCACACACAAACTAGGGCTAAGATTCCACTGAGAGGGCTATATGTAGATATGGTTATGTACTCAACAGATGGCCCAGGAAGAGCAGGGAGGCCCAGGCTGCTGGGGAGAGAATTTGGGATGGAATTTTCAGATGGTTGGGGTTACTGCTTGGCAGAATGGAGGACCTGGACTTGGTGTTCTGCACTATTTGCTGTGTGA